CGTGGCATACTGTTTAATTTACAGCTAGTTGAAAACTACATTCTTATTTCGTTAATGGTATACGTGTATTCCATTTTGGGTTAATATAAAAAAAAAACTTGCGTATTATAATATTTTTATGTTGTTTAAATGTTAAAGGTTTAAATATTTCAATGTGTGGTTCCAACGTACGAACGTCACAATTTATGTAGGCTAAGTTGATATATCACGCTACAAAAATTCACTCTCTCTCCAGCAAGCGAGTAACAAAGTCAACTGCACTTGTGTATCTTTCAACAATTTCATCCATATTCAGTCCATCTTGGGCAGAGAACTGATCAATGTTTTCCATTTGTTCTGCCTGGAAAGGGCACACAGTTTCTGGAACTTCCACACTTTCGGATTCTGACAATAGAATAGGCCCTTCATAGTCCACCCCATAATTCGAAAAATCGCCCTGGAAGAAAGATTAAAATGACTTCATTTTCAATTAGATGACATACAGTTTAAGCAAATTTAGCAAAATTTTCAATTTAATTACGCTTTACCAAATCATTTCCAACTCCAAAATAACAGAATAAGAATTATGCTTTATGCAAAGACTTAATTACCTGAAATACCTCCCTTGGCACAGTTGAACCACTTCTGCAAACCCTGTGAAGACCTTTAACCCAAAGTTGCATTGGACCCATGTTCCGTTCAGTTCTTAACGGATGATGTATCCAAGCTTGCTTCCATGATTGAAGATGTTTATTTACAACCGGAAGAAATACAAAGTGAAGACACCATAAATGCACTTCGTTTTCATGATCAAGAAGACCAAACCTCTCCAATTCATGAAAGGTGTCATAAAACAGGTAAAGGCACCCTTGAAACACATCTCTCCATAACCTTTCAATCCTTTGATTGTGGGTACTTTTACCTGTAAATGTCATTAAAAGTAACAAATTTTGTACTTTAAAATATAAGGATTGCTTTTGTTTATTGTAGTTAGTGATCATGCCACACAAAGTGAAATGCATATTTGTATCATACCTGTTATCATGCTTCCACGATTTGGCCCCCTTTGCTCATGTGTCAACATATACCAGGAAACATCAACATTTTCCCCTCCTTTATCGGAGCGGACTCTTGATGGAAGGCCATATTCATCACCTGCTTCCAAAAACGATTGGAGAACTGTATCAGCTCTGTTATTGTTTGATGCTCGAATGTACACAGGTATCCTGGAGTAGCCATCTATACCAGCATGCACCACAATCCTCCATCTATAAAAGGCAGAAAAAAAAATTCAGTGCAGCCATTCATTGTTTATTTTGAGTATAATGCAAAAATTGACAGTTGTACATACCGAATTAACTTGTGATTCCCATCTATGTGCCAAAGGGCCAGGGGCGAAAACACACTGTACTTTCTTTTCTTTACTGCATTTCTCCATCGCTGCACCACACCAGTTGGATCGGTTCTTAATAATGATTGCCTAATTCGCTCTCTTTGAATTCTGTAACCTTTGCTGAAAAGGTAGCCCTTCAACATTCGTATTCCAATTGAGCTGTTTTCATTTTGAGCTGCCTTAACAAGTTCGTCTAGATCTCCATCATTAATGTTGCTGTAGGTCGCTAAATCAGGTATACGAATGATATTTAAATTCCTATTGCAATTGAGCTAGCTTGTAAGATTCGGACTGTTTTCTAGCTGGTTTGGTGAATCATGAATTCTCCATTTTGTTGTATGTATGATTATCAAAATGAGTAGGTGTTCATACATACAACTTTATCTCAACGTGCAACACAACAATGTTGCATAAGAAAATCGCTGCAATATATATATATATATATATATATATATATAATTATAATTTGCTCACCTTTAATGCTTAGGTCATATGCAGCGAGTCTTCTTTCAACTGTACGCTGTCCAACTCCCAAAACGCTACTCATTTCTTTGACAGTAAAACCCTGATCGACTAAAAATGATAATTGCTCCTGCGATATGGAAATTTTAGGTCTTCCGCGTCCGGAATTAATAACGGAAGGACGATACTGTACATCAACATCTCGGCTTTCGATCATCCTTTCAGAGACTCTGTCTAACTGTTGATAGACTAATGACAATGCATCTATTATTTCCTGCGATAAACCCAAAGTTACACTTATCCGAATCACGTAGTCTAATTGTAGCTTCATCAGATCAACATTTTCATGATTTATTCCTCCTGCGATATCTCTAATAATTCCAGCAATTTCCACATGTGTTAACTCTGGGTCCGTTATGTTTTTTTGTTTCGACTATGTATGACGTCATAACGGCAAAGTTTCAATGAGGTAATTTTGGCGGCTTTTGTGCAAGCTGTGGCAAATCGCAACTTTCAAGTTGACAAATCGCAACATTCAACTAGGCCTTTCGTAACTTTTGATTTAACTTTATATTTCTCTCACCAAGTTAATTGTTGCGTGCAGCAAAGTCGCAAAATGTTTGTCAAATAATCAATTGTCAAAGGCCGTAAGAAAAATTATGGGCAAAATCGAGTGTTGATTTCCCATGTTAAAAGTCGAATTGCAAAGTTGATTTTTGGCGGTGATGGAACGCCATACAATGCTCTTTAAACTGAGCTTACAAGGTCAAGACGGTTCAAGTAGTTGATATTTTAGGACTCAGTCTAGTCCCTTCCATAGCTGTGCATCTCAAATTGATAGTGATGATGCAAAAACTCAGGTGTATATATCAAATGTATATGTGATGTCACTACTCTGAGTCACCAACCAGGCAAGCTGAAAAATTAGCTTGCCCATGGTGGGAATTAAACTTGCCATCTTTAGTTTGCTAGTCCAATGCTCTTCCAAATGAGCTTCCAGAATCAAGATGGTTTGAGTAGTTCATATTTCGGAACTCAGGCTAGGCCCTTCCATAACTGTGCGTCGTAAATTGATAATGATGATGCAAAAACTCAGGTGTATTATATCAAATGTATATGTAATGTTGATACCCTGAGTCAAATTCGGGCAAGCTGAAAAATTACCTCGACCACCGTGGAAATCGGATCTGCAACATTGAACCTGTGACATTTGGTTTGCTAGTCCAATGGTCTTCCAATTGAGCTTACAAGGTCAAGACGGTTCAAGTAGTTGATATTTCGGGACTCAGTCTAGTCCCTTCCATATCTGTGCATCTTAAGGTGGCTCATTACAGTTTTAAAAAATTCCATCATTCATCACTTTGACACGTTCAAACAACGCATTTTTATTATTTATTCTAGAGATATTGGAGTTTTTATATATTTTGAAATTTCTGCTTTTGAATCGTATTAGTGTTAGTAACAAATCGTCCGTTGCTATGGCGACATACGTGTACAAAAATTACTCCAAAATTGCAATTGCCTCGGATAGTTGATGTGACTTGCGGGCGCATCCAAGATGGTGTATGAAAAAGAAGTACTAGTTTGTAGTTAGTATTATTTAAAGCAAGTATGTAGTTAGTATAATTTTCGCTATAATAGGTGTATTATGTAGGGTTTAGACTAGATGATCCTAGATTTCATCCCAATAAAAGAAATGAAATTTCGACACAATATTTTGCACATTGTTTTACATTGTTGAAATACATGTAACTGCAACATTTCGGCAACATTCATCAAATCTGAATATGCGTACGCACTTTGGGGTACAATTTCGCTATAATAGGTGTATTATGTAGGGTTTAGACTAGATGATCCTAGATTTCATCCCAATTAAAGAAATGAAATTTCGACACGATATTCTGCACATTGTTTTAGATTGTTGAAATACATGTAACTGCAACATTTCAGCAACATTCATCAAATCTGAATATGCGTACGCACTTTGGGGTACAATTTCACTTTATAAGGTGTATTATGTGAGGTTTATGTTACAATATGAAACTTACTAAGTTCATTGATGTGACTTGCGGGCGCATCCAAGATGGTGTATAAAAAAGAAGTACTAGTTTGTAGTTAGTATTATTTAAAGCATGTGAGTATTGAAAGATAAACGTTTATAATAAACAAGATCGCGACTATTGTAACATGGTGGCAGCAAGATAAGATCAAAATCCATGACCACGAGGAAAAGGATAAGCATAGATATAAGAAAAGAGTAAATTACAGCGGGTAAATCATAAATACAACACCGCCAACACCGGCACCAATACAAGGAATTTCGCCGCCTGAAAAGCTTCAAATGAAGGGTAACATAGCGGAAAACTGGAAGACGTTTAAGCAAGCGTGGATAAATTATGCGATCATTACGAACCTGGACAAACAGACAGAACAGTACCGTGTTGCTTTATTCTTACATTGTATTGGCACCGAAGCTCTCAAAATTTACAATGGTATGTCATTTACGGAAAAAGAACGTGATAAGCTCAATCCTATTATAGGCAAATTTGATGAGTTTACAATTGGAGAGATTAATGAAACGTATGAGCGGTATGTATTCAATAGTAGAAACCAGGAAGATGATGAAAGTGTTGATGCATATGTCGCGACGCTACGTACATTAGCACAAACATGCAATTTTTGTGAATGTCTAAAGGACTCACTCATCCGAGACAGAATTGTGTTTGGAATAAATAATACACAAACCAGGAAAAAACTCCTTCAAGAATGAAAACTTAGTTTGAAGAAATGTATTGACCTATGTGGAAGCTCTGAAGTCACGACAACACAAATGAAGATAATCTCAGACAAAGCAGCGCCAGAGGACATACACAGAGTGACACTGAGAAAGATGCAGACTGGGTATCAAAGAGGCCAGCGAGATGTGATGTCACCAATAACATGCAAGTTTTGTGCAGGGAGACACCCACATGAAAAGAAAGATGCCCAGCCTGGGGAAAGGAATGCCTAAAGTGTGGGGGAAAGAATCATTTCACCAGGGTTTGCCGAAAAGTCGAGAGCAGAGATAATGCAAAAGTGCACCTTACAAGACAAGAAGAAAACCGTGAGTATGAAAATGATGCGGACAGTTCCGATATCGAATACCTTGAAAGTATAGCAGTCAATAATGGGAGCGTTTGCGCAGTTGGGCCGTCGGATAAAGCCTACCCAAGAGAGAAAATATGCAGAAATGTTTCTGGGTACAAAACCTGTTCAATTTCAAGTGGATTGTGGTGCATCAATAAACATTTTACCGGAGAGTGTTCTGGGGAAGCAAGAGCTCTCTCCAACTACCAAAACACTTATCATGTGGAATAAAACTGAAGTTAAACCAACAGGAACCATAAGAGTTGCTATAAGAAACCCAAAGTCAGGAAAAAAGTTTTCCCTTGGGTTCGTCGTAGTGCAAGAAAGTCTCACACCACTGATTGGTGCAAGGGCAGCGCAACAAATAAAGCTGATTACAATACATAGGGATAACTTTGTAGCAGTGACAGCACCTAAACGAGATAAACCAAAGGTGAATCAGCTATTCACGGTAGAGGAGATAGTTAATCAATACCCAGAGGTGTTTCACAGTCAGCTTGGAAATCTACCTGGTACAGTAAAATTAGAAGTAGAGAAAGATGCTAGACCAGTCGTTGTACCAACTCGGCGTGTGCCGATAGCATTGAAAGAGCAATTTAAAGGTGAATTGGACAGACTCGAAGAGTTGGGAGTCATCGCTAAAGTGGATAAGCCAACACCGTGGGTGAGTAGTGTGGTAGTCGCTACAAAAAAGTCAGGTCAGTTGAGGGTGTGCATTGATCCGAAGCCATTAAATGCCGCGCTTAAGCGTGAGCAATACCATTTGCCAGTGTTGCATGATCTCCTTCCGGAGTTGGCCAAAGCCAAGGTATTCTCTACAGTGGACCTCCGCGCCCGGTTATTGGCATTGCGTTTTGGAGGAAGATTCGAGTTTTCTTACAACATTTGCAACACCCTACGTGAGATACAGGTGGCAAAGACTACCATTCGGACTGTCAGTTTCATCGGAGATTTTTCAGAAGAGAGTGCATCAAGTTCTGGATGGTCTAGATGGAATTCTGGACATCACCGACGATATTCTCATTTATGGAGTTGGAGCGACCGAAGAAGATGCGAATGTAGATCATGATCGAAAGCTACGTCATCTGCTAGAAAGATGTGAGAAAAATAGTGTTGCCCTCAACCCAGACAAGCTGAAGCTGCACCAAAAAGAGGTGACGTATATGGGACATCTGTTTACCAACGGAGGCCTTAAGGTAGACCCAGGGAAGCTTGAAGCAGTGAAAGAATTGCCTCGTCCAACCGATATTGAGTCCGTGCAGCGACTGAATGGTTTCGTAAATTACTTGGCTAAGTTTTTGCCAAGGTTGGCTGATGTTATGGAGCCAATCTGCCGTCTGACCCGAAAAGGTGTACAATGGAGATGGAAGGAGGGGCAAGAGAAGGCGTTCCAGGAGGTAAGGAAATTGGTCACGGAGGCCCCGGTGTTAAAGTATTACGATCCGCAGAATGAGGTGGTAATCCAATGTGATGCAAGCCAGAAGGGTTGCAACAAGGAAGACCAGTGGTGTATATTAGTCGTGCCCTCACGGAGACAGAGCAACAATATGCACAAATCAAAAAAGAAATGTTGGCGATTGTGTTTTCACTTGAGAGATTGAACCAGTACGTCTTCGGAAGACATGTAAAGATTCAAAGTGATCACAAGCCATTGGAGGCTATCCTCCGAAAACCCCTGGCAAGTGCTCCGCAGCGTCTGCAGGGGATGATGATGAGGCTGCAGAAGTATGATTTCGAAGTGAGGTATCAGCAAGGAACAAGCATGTACATAGCTGATATGCTATCGCGTGCTTTCCTGCCTACAACGGAACATCCGTCTGGTGTTGAATTCGAGTGTGTCAACATGGCTAGCTTTTTGCCAATTTCCAGTGAGAAAATGAGGGACATTCAAGCAGCGACCGATGAAGACGAATTGCTACAGCTACTTAAGAAATCCATAATGGAAGAATGGCCACAAGAGAAGAAGTACCTAGCAGCACAGATCTTACCTTATTTCAGTATGCGGGATGAGCTAATGGTGCAAGATGGGCTGTTATTCAAAGGGCAGAGAGTGATCATACCGAGTAGGCTGCGTTGGGATATGAAGAAGAAAATACATGCGTCGCACCTGGGAACCGAGTTGTGTCTTCGTAGAGCGAGAGAGAGTGTGTACTGGCCAGGGATGTCGGCGGAAATTAAAGAGTTAGTGGCTTCTTGTGAAGTCTGTAGAACCTATGAAACAGCACAGCAGAAGGAAACCTTGATGCCTTATGAAATACAATCACGTCCCTGGAAGCAAGTTGGCGTGGATTTGTTCACGTTCGATAAGAAGGATTATATGATAACTGTCGACTATTTTAGTAACTTTTGGGAAATTGACAGGCTGACCAGTACCAAAACGAGTATGATAATTCTCAAGTTGAAGAATCATTTTGCAAGGTACGGCTGTCCAGAGAGAGTCATAAGCGATAATGGCCCACAGTTTTCGGCAGAAGAATTTGCAACGTTTGCCGACACATGGAATTTTGAGCATCTCACAAGTAGCCCTGGTAATAGCAAGGCAAACGGTAAAGCGGAGTCAGCGGTGAAGATGGCAAAATGGCTCATTCGTAAAGCTGTTGAGGGGGGAGCTGACCCATACCTGGCGATTTTGGATTATCGCAACACACCCACTCAGGGTATGGAGAGTAGTCCCGCACAACGCTTGCTTAACCGGAGAACTCGGACACTTCTTCCTACAGCATCAAAGCTCCTGCAACCTAAGGTGATGTGCCAGGAAAAAGAGTTTAGGGACATGAAAAAACGGCAGGAGCAGCAGATCAAGTATTACAACCGCAATGCAAAGGATCTTCCCGAGTTGAGTCATGGTGACGTGGTAAGGATGAAACCATTTAGAATGGGTATAAAGAAATGGGATAAAGCTGCCGTAACTGCCAGATTAGACGAAAGATCATATACGGTCAAAACGCCGGAAGGAAATAGTTATCGTAGAAACCGAAGTCATTTGAAGAAATCAGCGGAGATGCCGATAGTAGTAGAGGTGAGTTCGGAGGATGAGTGGAGTCAAGCAAGTGAGGAGTCCACAGAGGAAGAAGAAACGCAATCCACCACCACGTTGAAAGAGAAACCTACGAAAAGTTCATCACCCGCAAAGTCCCCTCGCCCGGTAGCAGCGGAGCAAGACAGCCAACGACGAGCAGCTTGTCCAGTACGAATAACAAGACCACAGCGCACCCGGAGAGCTCCAGAGTACTTAAAAGACTATGTCCGTTAGGAAGAAAGAACGAACACAGTTGGAACTGTATATATATAAAAATATTATAATAATATATATTTGTACATACTAAACAATTTAATTCTTTTATGTATCTATGTAATTTTTGCTTTTTTAATTTATCTGTTTTAAGTAAGTTATTTTGGTAATAGGAGCAGTCCCTTCATAAAAGAGGGGATGTTACAATATGAAACTTACACTAAGTTCATTGATGTGACTTGCGGGCGCATCCAAGATGGTGTATAAAAAAGAAGTACTAGTTTGTAGTTAGTATTATTTAAAGCATGCGAGTATTGAAAGATAAACGTTTATAATAAACAAGATCGCGACTATTGTAACAGTTTAGACTAGATTATCCTAGATTAAAGAAATTCCAATCCCAATTAAAGAAATTAAATCAACTGCAAAATTTTAGCAACATTCGTCAAATCTGAATATGCGTATGCACTTCGCAGCAATAAGGCACCCCAACAAGTTTTGAGCATTCAAATTCTTTTTTGGTTGGATGGAAAACAACCCCCCCCCAGGTTTTGAAAATTTGAATTTGAAAATTCGTTTATTTTACATTATAAGCCCTCAAACAATCGATATTTTGGAAAACGTCGTGCTTTGGGTCGTGTAGTGTTGAGAACGATTTCAAATCAATTTTGTTCACTTTTTTCATACACTCTGTATAGATAGTATGGTTTGTATTATGTATAAGGTAGACTTAACTGAGAAAAATCATAAAGCATTTTGAGGGAATCGAACCCTCAACAGGGAATAATTCCTGCCCAACCAAGGGAATGCGAGGTGTTTAAGGAATGACAGACACAAGCACATTTAAAGTTGTTTCTCAACGGATATATTAAATTATGTATACATAAGTGTATATATTTATAATCAATATAAATTAAACTAATATATAACAATAATTTACAATATAAATTCATTTATGTAATTATTGTATTTCTATTCTGAGAGGTATAATCGTTAAAGTTCGCTATTGTTTTCAGTTTCTTCATCGTCTTCCTCACTTGAATATGATGACTTGTCTTCTGCATGGTCAGTGGCCATGTTTGAAATAAATTCCTCAATATCAGAATTACCGGCAAGGACCTTCGTAAAACATTCCACACCAATTTCTAATTGTCTCATGGCAAAATCTTGCGCATGTTTACAAAGGGCTAACTTCCCTTGTAGTACATCTTTATGGGTAGTCATGTCATTATAATTTTTGTCCATTTTGCCTAATTATGTTATTGCAACAGATAATGGGTACTGTATGTTTCATAGATTAAGATCACAGCAAAGGTTTTAACGGATATCCAACAGCATAATTACAGTAAGGTCAAAATTACTCATACCTGTCCAGTTTCCGATATTTCAAGCGAGTCGTCAAGTTCATCTATATTACAATGGAGAACGTAATAAAGATCTTCACGAAATACTGTATTACTATATTTCATTTCATGCCTCTGCATACTACGCTATTATACAATACATGCATATATGCTATGCTGCTATTCTATTCTATGCTACATGTATCTATGAGCGATTTGATTATGCCACTGATTTACATTTTATTCTGTTGAATTAAGGATGCTAATATAGTACAAGAACAATGTCAATGAAATAATTATTAGTAGTGCATGAATTCACCTGCATTAAGTTTATCCAATAGTTCGGTTTGATTTTCTTTCAGTTTAGGGATTATATTATTTTTATAAAATATCAAGAAATTTTTCATCTCGTTTTCCAATATTGAGATTTCTTCTTCATGGCGGAAACATTCATTATTTAGTTCGGCCACTTTCTTCTTGATACAAATCAGACAAATTACAATAGAGAACAACTGTTAAAATATTTCGTAAATATAGAAAATATACTCAGTATATGTACTCATTACTAAACCTACAAAGTGATTAACCTACACGTACGGTAAGTACATGCACAGCCTTTTTGGAATGCAAAACGCATTAATACCTTCTTGAGAGTCAATATCCATAATAAGACACCAAACTGGACATCTTCAATATTAACACACAAACTTGGGTTAGTTGTCAACGGCTTCTTAAATTCGCTTTCACGGATGATATTTTCGAACGTAACCTACGCCTCTGCTTTGATGAATCTAAAAGTAAATTTCTAAGTGAAAAATTAGATAAAAGAAAAAGAGTCAATAAAGACATGCTCTGGAAATTCGGCAAACTGGAGAGTGTTTACAATGAAATAAGATTTAATGTTGAGATGGCTTAATTCGGTGTGCACAAATCTGTTGAAATATTTCTTATTAATATTTTAGCAGTACGCTTGAGTGATTCAATGAGGTGATGCGATTGTTTCATGCATAAGACATAAAAGGAGAGAACAAAGATTTCAGTCAAGTTTCCAGACCATATATGTCGGCATTGACAATGATATGGTTTACTATTATTTTACATTGACTTGCCTGCCAACTTGCTCATATTGGCAGCTAGCTGAGCTATTTCGAAGTGTGCTGTTTGCATACTGCGCTCTAACTTCGACACAACCTTTTCTCTTAGTGGTTTTTCACCGCACTCCAAAACGGTGGACCAGTTTTCCGCATTCTTCTCTTTCATATCGCCAACCAAATTAGACAAATCAGTAGACACTTTCCTGCAGTACACAGGGAAAAGTTTAACAGCATTAACCAATAGTGGGCTGCGTGGGTTCGTTTCGTGAAAAAGCGAGTTCACAATGAATGTTTCTTCTTCTTTAGACAGGATAAACTTTGATTTTCGCTTCAACGAGTATACAGTTTCAACACCCAAATCTTTTTTCATATCACAGAACCTTTCTTGTGATGTTTTAACAGCTTCCTTTGTCTGTAATCAATAAAGATCAGTTCAGTCTTACACATTTACATCTATTGTACATGTAGTATTTGGTGAGGCAGGGACTAATAAAAGTTACTTGAATTTATGTAATTTATACAGTACATGTAAGGAATGTTTGAAATAATAGCATAGCAGAGTTTAAAAATGTTATATATGAAGAATATTCCCGACAAACCTGAAGATATCTCTTTGCTAACATTTGAGGCATACGCGTGGTCACAGATTAACACCCAGATGTCTCACTTCTGACTCAAAAGCGTAAGCGATTCGTCACTGCGCATCGCTTTCTGCGCACGCTTAGCAAGTGACTAGAGGCATTCACCCCCCCGAAATAAAATTTCAAAATGGAGACGAACTGAATTGAAATGAAAAACTGCACGATAGGTCAAATGAGTCGGAATATATGTACATTTATTGATTTGTACAGGAAGTTCCATTCAATGTAAAGATATTCAAACACTTTTTAAAAGGAATATGCTTGAAATTATGGAGATTTCTACTGCTTATAATTTTCCGCTCCTACGACAATCGAAAAAAGATAAAACACTCGTACAATATTGAAAACGAGGTACTCTAAACTCACTTTTCCAAAGCGCGTATAGATGATGATGGATTCAGACACAAACTTAACTACACAGTCGCCTTCTCTAGCAAATGAGAGGAGTTTTTTTTCCATGTATAAAATAGTTCGGCTCCATTTTGAAATTTCGGGGGGGGGAATGCCTCTAGTCACTTGCTGAGCAAGCGCTTACGCTTTTTTAATCAGAAGTGAGACATCTGGGTAATCTGTGGCGTGGTCTTCCATTTATTCCATATTAGCACATGCTCAGTCAGTAATTTTTCCCTTGCTAAAGAAAATTGATTCACAATTTCATTTATGTATATATGTTTGTAAAATAGGTTAGCTTGTTAAAATGCTACTGAATCCAAAATTTTCAACATTTAATCAAATAACAGTTTTCTCCTGGTGTTAGCGGCAAACGGAAATAGAATTGGTCAATTCAACCAGATGTTATAGTCTTTAAATAATTACTCCTGGGAAAGCAAAATTTCAATTTTAAGTAGCACTTTAATTAACCCGAGTTACTTTATAGTAAGTAAAAGTAACTAAAATAAACTGAGGCCGCACACACCTTCAGGCAGCATATGTTTTGTGCTATTGCCAAGTCTAGAGAAATGACTGTTGATCTGCTCTGCTTCCTCTCCAGTTGTTGCACCCGCATTAATCTGCCATCGACCACCCCAGAATATCTATTTAAAAAGCATAAAACATTGTTGGCTGAAAGTGATGTACACGGCAGCTGTAGATTTCAGGTACCAGGTTTTGAAGAAAAAACTTGTGCCAATTTTTACATTTAACTTTATATTACACACATATTTACCTGACAAGTCTAACAGTGCGCCTTGGCATGCATGACAGACAATCCAGGCTTCATTTTGTTTGATAGAACTTGGTCATGTTTAGCAAGCCAAAGCCAATACTGGCAAATCACATCATACCACATGAACGTAGTATTATTCCTTGTTAGAACATTTTTCTGGAGATAGTAAGCATAATTGTAAATTTCTCCTTGAAACATATTCACTGCCGCTTGGGCAATACTGTGTCGGCAACCAAGAATCTCCAGCCCTGTCTCATCAAGATTCTTTATTTTCCTTTCGCTATTTCTCGCTGCCCTCCATGTTATATCTCCGCACATTGAACTCTAAAGTATAAACATAAATTATCTTACAGACGTTATTTCAAGAAACTAGTAATAGAAATTTTTGTTGCAGAACTATACTTTGAAGTCGGAAAGATGAATACTAAGCTTGGATGGATACTAATAAAGCCGTATTAATGTTGATTTAGTGAAGGTAAAATAGTAAAGTGATTTGACTGTCTAAATTGCAGGACACAAATTTTTGCATCTTCAGCGCATGTCAAATGAATAAATGTTTTCAACTCTCTCCAATTTAAACACCAATATATCAAGTTTATACCTCATCACTGTTAGTGGTTGTCTCAGAACCCTGTTTTTGTGCTGCAACTATATCATTGGAGGCAATCTCAACAAAAGACCATATGAAATAAATCTTACAAAATAAATTCAAAGTAACCAAATTAATCAAAGTAATCAATCTTGAAATACCCTGCACTATTGTACAGTAGGTACTGAA